CATCCATCCATCCATCCATCCATCCATCCATCCATCCATCCATCCATCCATCCATCCATCCATCCATCCATCCATCCATCCATCCATTCATTCATGCTGGAAGACGTTTGCTTTCCTTCCAGGGCAGACACGGTGTATGAAGACATGAAGCAAAGGTACGGCCCTCAGGGATGCTACCTGTTGAAGATCAACTCTCGCTCCTCTTCGCCTGAGGAGGGGGAGCAGATCCCAGACCCCTGGAGTCAGTACCTGCACAAGCAAAACCCCCGGAACCAGGTGAGACCCCCCCCTCCCCACTGGGACCTACAGCAGCTGATTCTAATCCACAGATTTTCTCTGAATCTCCAATTTTTGTAGATTTCTTAGATTCATTTTTCTTTAGCGCTTTTTACAGACCAGGTTCTTCTCAGAGAAAAACAGATTATTAGCCATCTTAGCTCAGAACCAGAACCGCATGGGTTTAAAGCTGCTGGGTCCAGAGAGGCCTCCTCAGGAGCCTACCAGACTCTCAGAAGCTTCTCCAGGGTTTCACCTCCTGAACCCAAATCAGCCAGCGAACCTTTAGCTCTGGACGAGCAGCAGGCCCGTCCCGTTTCCCATCACTGTTTCAGGTCCAGTCAAGGATCAGCATTCCAGTGATGTCATCCTCCCAGCTCTGTAAACTCACACCTGTAGCCTGCAGGTTAGCAGGAAGCACAGGGACTTTATCATCGCCTCAGAATTAAACTTAAACGGGAATCACAGAAGGATTTGATGAAAAGAGAAAAAATCATCAGCTGAAGTAAAGAAGTTCCTTCCTGATGTTTTCATATGTTTTCCTGATGTGGTGCTCGTTGCAGGACTCGGTGGAACCTGCTGCTAATGCTGCTGCTCCTCTGGGCGTTCCTCCTGAGGCCGACTGCAGGGATTCAGCAGAGAGAGGTCGGTTCATTCCTCTGACAGGACCTTTATCTTCAGTCGATGGACTTTCATGGTTTAAACCCAGTTTAGACAGAAGAGTTTCCCTGGATTTCACTGCAGGTTTAAATTAACCAATAAATAAAGGCAGGAATTAAAGGCATCTTCTCATGTAGTTTCAGCTTTTATCAAGTTGCAGCAGTTTTTGAAATCTACATAAACAAATCAGAAGAAGCTAATCTGCCCGTCTGCAGCAGCCGGGGCTAACATTAATTCTATTCAGTTTATTTCTATAACGCCAATTAAGATCATCTCAGGTCACTTTATAGACAATTCCACCAGATCATCCAGTCAGATTGATTCAAAGTTTTCTATCTAAGGAAAACCAGCTGATTGCATCGACTCATTGACTCTTCAGCAATCCCTCAC